CTCCTCACCTCCAAGTCGTGACATTTTTCTTCATTTTTTAGGCAACTGGACCACACTAGACCTGGTCCAGTTCAAAAACCACAACACCTGGACTCTTCAAACCAGGACTAGATTATTCTACACTAATAGAAGAATAGTTTGTTTTTCATCATTTTTTAGGCAACTGGACCACACTAGACCTGGTCCAGTTCAAAAACCACAACACCTGGACTCTTCAAACCAGGACTAGATTATTCTACACTAATAGAGGAATAATAAAAACTAAGTTTGAGCTTTGGGAAACCTTTGTCTGATTTGTGAAACATCAACAAAGTTTGTTTTTCATAATTTTTAGGCAACTGGACCACACTAGGTCTGGTCCAGCTCAAAAACCACAACATCTAGACTCTTCAAACCAGGACTAGATTATTCTACACTAATAGAAGAATAATAAAAACTAAGTTTGAGCTTTGGGAAACCTATGACTGTCATGCTCTGTCATCTCTGCACTGCTGAATTACTTTTGCTCCTGTGCAGTTTTTTCATTACAGTTATCAAAAATGTGCAGAATTTGTGAATAATGCTAATCAACCATGATTCTGATGGAAACCAGATGCATGATAAATGCCATTTTGGCAGGTCTAGTGTGGTCCAGTTGCATAAAAATGATGAAAAACAAACTTTATTGATGTTTCACAAATCAGACAAAGGTTTCCCAAAGCTCAAACTTAGTTTTTATTATTCTTCTATTAGTGCAGAATAATCTAGTCCTGGTTTGAAGAGTCCAGGTGTTGTGGTTTTTGGAGCTGGACCAGGTCTAATGTGGTCCAGTTGCATAAAAACGATGAAAAACAGACTTTGTAGAAGTTTCACAAATCAGACAAAGCTTTCCCAAATCCCAAACGTGTTTTTTAATATTCTTCTATTAGTGTAGAATAATCTAGTCCGATTTGAAGAGTGTTGTAGTTTTTGAGCTAGAGCAGGTTAAACACGCGCAGGGTAGTGAAAAATTAGTTGTAATATCTCTTTAGTCATTTCCCGAATCGGAAGCTAACTTCAGCTTCGTACCGGGTTTATCTGTAGTCCGGTTTTCATTTCCTCTTTTCATTTGTTGTCTTTTAGTTAGAATGTTGTTGTTGTTTATTTATCAACAAACATGAATAATCAACAAACAGTCAGCATTTATTTATGAGAGGAGCAAAAGATTCATAAACAACAAGAAAAACCAAAGCCTGGTCTCCATGGGGGGATCTCCTGTTGGGTTTATGCTGCGTTCACACTGATCGTGTCTTCAGTGTCAGAAACACGTCCAACACTTCAAGCTTCATGCTTTAGACACGGAGCGTCCCGGTGYGAGGTCATGCACCTCCCAAATGTTGTAACTCCACAAAGACTGTGCACCGCAGCACTTCCTGACACCTGGCCACCATAGTCTTTGCAGGTCAACCTGATGCACAAAAGGTGTTTGGTGTGAACATTAGGGTCAGAGGTCAGGATTAGGCTGTAGAAATGACCAGTACATGRATGGATGTCAATTCAGTGTCCTCATGTGTGTTTGTGAGTCTGCTCAATATGGGTGGAGCCTAACAACCAAACAGGAAGTGACTCCTAATTCTTCAGGAGCTTCATCTATGGCTTGCTGACGCGAGGACGTCCGGTCCCTCTGAACATCGTCATTTCCTCCTTCATCTTCTGCACCTTCAATGGCTTCCTGCAGGGACACAACCTGCTGCACTGTGCCCGCCTCCACAACACCTGGCTGAGCCACGCCCGCATTACTTCAGGTGAGTCACACCTGGCTGAGCCACGCCTACTCCACTAGAGGACATCTGATCCAAGACCACCTGGGTAACCAGTACCCAAAAGCTTAAAATCATCAAAGGAGTTCTGGATCAGGTGGATCAGGTTGATCAGGTGGATCAAGTGGATCAGGTAGATCAGGTGGATCAGAGAGATCAGGTGGATCAAGTGGATCAGGTAGATCAGGTGGATCAGAGAGATCAGGTGGATCAAGTGGATCAGGTAGATCAGGTGGATCAGAGAGATCAGGTGGATCAAGTGGATCAGGTAGATCAGGTGGATCAGAGAGATCAGGTGGATCGAGTGGATCAGGTAGATCAGGTACATCTGGTGGATAAGGTGGATTGGGTGGATTAGGTAGATCAGGTGGATTGGGTGGATCAGGTGGATTAGGTAGATCAGAGGGATCAGGTGGATCAGGTGGATTAGGTAGATCAGAGGGATCAGGTAGATCAGGTTGATCGGGGGGATCAGGTGGATCGGTGGATCAGAGGGATCAGGTAGATCAAGTGGATCAGGTAGATCAGATGGATCAGGTGGATCAGATGGATCAGGTGGATTAGTTAGATCAAGTGGATCAGGTAGATCAGATGGATCAGGTGGATTAGTTAGATCAAGTGGATCAGATGGATCAAGTGGATCAGGTAGATCAAGTGGATCAGGTAGATCAGATGGATCAGGTAGATCAAGTGGATCAAGTAGATCAGATGGATCAGATAGATTGCGTGGATCAGATAGATCAGATGGATCAGGTAGATCTGATAGATCAGGTAGATCAGATGGATCTGGTAGATCTGATAGATCAGGTGGATCAGGTAGATCAGATTGATCAGAGGGATCAGGTAGATCAGGTGGATCAGGTAGATCAGAGGGATCAGGTAGATCAGGTGGATCAAAGGGATCAGGTAGATCAGATGGATCAGAGGGATCAGGTAGATCATGTGGATCAGAGGGATCAGGTGGATCAGTGGATCAGGTGGATCAGAGGGATCAGATAGATCAGGTGGATCAGAGGGATCAGGTGGATCAGTGGATCAGGTGGATCAGAGGGATCAGGTAGATCAGTGGATCCGAGGGATCAGGTAGATCAGGTAGATCAGAGGGATCAGGTGGATCGGTGGATCAGGTGGATCAGAGGGATCAGGTAGATCGGGTGGATGAGGTGGATCGGTGGATCAGAGGGATCAGGTAGATCGGGTGGATCAGGTAGATCAGGTGGATCAGGTAGATTGGTGGATCAGGTAGATCAGGTGGATCAGAGGGATCAGGTGGATCAGGTAGATCAGGTGGATCAGAGGGATCAGGTAGATCGGATGGATCAGGTGGATCGGTGGATCAGGTGGATCAGAGGGATCAGGTAGATCAAGTGGATCAGGTAGATCTGATAGATCAGGTAGATCAGGTGGATCAGGTATATTGGGTGGATCAGGTGGATTGGGTGGAACAGGTAGATCAGGTGGATCTAAGTAGATTGGGTGGATTAGGTGGATCGGGTGGATCAGGTAGATCAGGTGGATCAGAGGGATCAGGTGGATCAGGTAGATCAGGTGGATCGGAGGGATCAGGTAGATCAGGTGGATCAGGTGGATCGGTGGATCAGAGGGATCAGGTAGATCAGGTGGATCAAGTGGATCAAGTGGATCTGATAGATCAGGTGGATCAGGTATATTGGGTGGATCGGGTGGAACAGGTAGATCAGGTGGATCAGGTAGATTGGGTGGATTAGGTGGATCTGGTGGATCCGGTAGATCAGGTAGATCAGGTGGATCGGAGGGATCAGGTAGATCAGGTGGATCAGGTGGATCAGGTGTTCTGGACAGAACCACAGTCTTGATGTTTGCTTTGATGTTTTCATCTTTTGAAGGGTCTCTGCTGTTCCTCGGTGGTCTCATCATGAACATCCACAGCGACTATATTTTGCGAAACCTGAGAAAACCTGGAGAGGTAGACTACAGGATCCCCCGCGGTACGTCCAGTCCTGTTCCAGAACTCAGCCCGGCCCCCCTGTGAGCCCTCAGTCATGGGACCTCCTGTTGATGTTTCAGGTGGGATGTTTGAGTTTGTGTCTGGAGCCAACTTCCTGGGAGAGATCATCGAGTGGTGCGGGTAYGCCATCGCAGCCTGGTCTCTACCGGCCTTCGCCTTCGCCTTCTTCACCGTCTGCTCCATTGGACCCAGAGCCTACCAGCACCACAGGTACTGACCCAGTCCAGATGGTAACATGCTAARWCTTTTAGCTCATCTTTCATCTGAACCCATGTAAAGCAAACAGGACATCAGACAGCTGGATGGTGGCACCAAACATTGRTCTGTGGTCAGTCTTTGGTCCACAAACACCAACATAAATTGTGGTTCTGGGCATAGATGGGTCCAGTCCTCGGTGTACAGAGTTCTGAAAAGACTCCGGSTCCCAGACCAACAGAGACCTGTAGAACCTTGTTCTTGTTGATGGTTGTCTTAGATTAAGGTTCTGTTCTGTGTTTTGCAGAGATTACCAGCAGAGGTTCAGGGATTATCCTCGGTCCAGGAAAGCCCTGATTCCCTTCATCTTCTGAAGATGAAAAGTCTGATCTTCTTAATAAAACCCTGATGAAAACAGAACCAGAACTCTGAACCTCTTCTGACATGTTGTAGTTTAGTGGCTGTGCTTCATGAGACCGTGTGATCACGTGGATATTCTTCCAAAAGGGTAAAATAAAATTTAAGAAGCAGCTGAACTATTTTCTGTTAAAGTTAAAGACATTCTCCTCCAATCAGAGGAGCTTTTTCAATCAGAATGGAAAAGTTCAGTTCCTGCTTTAAATTACATGAGATAGTCAGCTGTAGGTGTTCACCTGTTCTGCAGCTGTCCTCTGGAACTCTCTACCACCTGTCCTATGAAACAGCAACTCTTCCTGTGTTTAACACTGCTCTGAAAACACATCTCTTTAGATTAGTGTATCATGTATATTAACTTCATTTGTAAACAATTCTCTGTAAATTATGCCTGCTTGTCTCTAACTGTAGTTTCACACATTCTTCTATGATGTGTCTAATGCTGCAAGTGTCCTTGGGTGTCCTGAAA